CCCCAAAACCCCAAAACCCCAAAACCCCTTAGTTGCCTTTCCAGATTGATTACATTCCAATTTTTTCATATGTATTAAAATTTTGATAACTTCTTTATGAGATGATCATTACAGAACATGTAGGCTAAGAATTTGGTCGACTAAATTTTTCAATTATTTCGCACCTAATTCAGAGAATTAGGCTGGCCCAGATATTTTATTAATTTTAGAAATTTTCAGGATTTTGATAGGATAGTGATGAAAATAATAATTGTGGTCAAAGACTGGTACTAATTCTTCTTTGTTAAATTGAAGTTTATAAGAAGCTACTCCAAAAGTAAACTGAAATTCCAAGTCCCTCTGCTAGTTAGGACCGAGCACAAACCTAGCCATACATAAGCGATGTAGAGTATCAATGATGGTATTTATATGAAAATAAAAATTTGGGTAACAATTGGGTATTAAAATATTCCATAATTCTGCCAAATTCTTGGAATGTTTTTATGAAATATATTAGATTTAATATAATTACTAATATTACTTCGGTGAAACACAGGCTTATGCCAGTTTATATCTTAGCTAAAACTCTTCTATTAGTCCCTAAACCATCTTAAGCTAATTAATGCACATAAGCACTGGATCCAAATATCTCTCTGATTTGCTTTCTCGTAGAACCTAATTCCTATTGAGCAATCTTACTTGCAAAGAGATTCATGAATGCTGCTAGTCTCTTAAACTGCAAAGTTGTGAAGAATGGGGTCTCTTCATAGATCTAACAGAAAGACAAGGATAAGGTATAGCTTTGGGAAACATATGGTGTACTTAAAGAAGTGGAGAAGAAAAATGTCACATTCATAGCATATTTATGAAGCGTCAAATGCTATTTACAAATACCTATAGAAAGGTGTTATTAAACTTCTTACATTCGTATTAAGCAATAAATTTGCTATCTCAGAATTTGGAAGCTCATATGAGCTGAGGGAGTTTGGTAATCATAAGTATAATTTGCTAGGTTAAGTAAAACATCAAAATTCCTCAAAGAGAATAAACAGAGTGATATTTATGTTCATAATACCTTAAACTTAAGAAATATATTTATAATGCTAATATTTTTACAAAAAAAGGTGCTCACTGAATTTCTGAGCAATTTTGGAAGCCCGTTAAGAAGAGAGTTGCCAATGTAGGCAACTTGTGTTAATATTATTCCACGGAATAGCTTGCCAGGAAAATTATAATATCCAACCTCTGCTAAAAGTTCGTGAAGTCTTTCCTGGAACTTGGCGAATTGCATACCTGCTCTAAGAATGATATCCTACCCAATATATTACTTCTTTATGATGCTGTAGCTCTATTCTGAGGATACGATATTACTCTTTCTTCCTAATTGTATTTATAATTCTATTATAAAAGCAGAAAAGGCAGATTGGACTCGCCTAAAACTGGGAATTTTGCTCAATTTTTGAACTCTCAAAACAAAAGGAAACATATAGTTTACAAATGATTATTGGTAATGAATTATTATGGAGCGCAGACATCTCCCATCGTTATAAGCTTATTTAGGGAGGAGGAAAAGCTATTAGGCTCAACATTCAACCCTTTAGCTGAAATTTGTTTGTCAGGGGAATGATCAGAAAAGTGTGGACTCTGGCTAGATTTTTGAAGAAGCTCTTCTATTTTTCCTTTCAATCTTCTCTCAGTTCTAAATTCCTCTTTGCAAGGAATTTTAGCATGTATATCAACTTTATATAGTTGAGATATATTCTTGGAACTACGAGAAAATACATCTGCATTACTTATTGGGCAAGATGGAGCCTTCATTAATAAGACTGCACGAGGCTTTTTGTCAAATGGAGTACTAGACATGTTCTTAATAAGCTTCGAAGAGGTTTTGATAGGAGATGCCACAACATTTTCATCAACTAAGTCATCTGATAGATTTTCATCTAAATGATCATAGATATTCATATTTCTTAATTATATCATTCAAATCCGGACGATCTTTATGGGGTTTTGGGGTTTTGGGGTTTTGGGGTTTTGGGG